TACATATGATTAAAAGATGGTTAATCTTTCTTGTGTGGTAAATAATTTCTTACACAAGAGTACAGCAGAGAGAAGCAAACACTACAGTAACTTCAGGATCTCATAACCCGTATACCAAGGACGAACAAACCTTTAAATGATAGACCACAACAAAAATTCAAGTGAATTTCCCGATCTTTGTTTTTTTTCCTTGTTGCTTTACCAGTAAATTATGATTCATGTATTTGAAAGCAGAGCTTTCTTTGGAATTGAGAGTTCTTTTGGCAGATCATTAACTCATTCCAAATCCAACTTCCCTTTTTTTAACAAACTTCAAACCTTAACCCTTGTGAACCACCGAAACCCAACCATCTATCATCACTTGCATCCAAAACATGTTCCAGCATGACCGCCTAGCATCTCCGCAGGTCAATGACAATCAATATTAGGATTTTGAATGTACAAATATCTTAGAGATTGGATAGCACTGGCATCAAAAGTGAAAGGCATAGTCTTGAAAGCAAGTTTGTAACCAAGAAGCTTCCTGATAGGCTCTTCTTCGACACTCAAAAGCTGTTTCACAATGTATCACAATGAGCAGCAAGAATCTCCTTAAAGATAAGGCTTCTAATACAAAATGCACCCCTCAATCTTAATCAATATTAAGTGGCACAAACATTAAGGGAAAAAGAAAATGGAAACGCCCCTTTTTAGGCTTCTAGTGAAGTGAGCTTTAGCATGCCAATATGACCTCAAAGAGGCGTGGGGCTTGGCATTATGATTTTCTCTCTTTGGAAGCCTGCATCCAGGCATCTATTTTTAAGAGACAGAGGAGTGCATGCTTGGCAAAGTAGAAATCACATCAAGAAAGAATTCCATCACTTCCATTTGAAAACAAAATGTTGAGCTCAATCGACCACTAGAATTTTTGGGAGCAAAAATGCTTTATATGCATTTTTATAGAGGTAATGAAGGGTAAAACAGAATTGACCATATGCAAGAGCACACATTTTACGTTCAATAGTCTTGCCCACATGCGGGAAAATAGTGCTTTTGGTGCATGCTAGGTATGGTATTGGCAGCAAGTTAAGGCCCAGGCTTTGAAGGCAGGCACAGCTCTGGCAAGTGTGGGCCCTAATATGCCCTCATTGAGACCTAGCCTTGCACGGCCGTTCTCAAACACATAAAATTGCAGAGACCATCCCAAATTCCTAAACAAACAAGAATTACAGTGATGAATTCATAACTGAAACTGACACTGAAGAATGTGAATGTTAGAGTGAGAAATTAAAAAATATCAGTACGAGTTAACAAATGCGTCCAAAAAATGAAAGAAAAAGATTATGATACTGAGATTCATTATAGTGCACTGCAAACCTTTAGGAAGAAAAGTCCATGTTGCAATCTTGTCCTCTATACCAGCAACAATTGGATCCTAGAGAAAGGATAAATTAAAATAAAAGGCAAATTATAAGGCTTAATTTGACAATGATCTTACAAAAATAGGACTATAAAAAGAAAAACAAAAAACCTTTGCTTTAGTGATAAACATTCCAGAACTGGTTCGAACTTCGCTAAGTTTACTCTTTCCACTCTCATTATCAGCCACTGCTGATCTTTTCAACTCCGATTTGGCCTTAATTTCACAAAAAAAAATTGAAAGTGAATTAAGAGAAGAAGATGCTGTTTCTTGAATATATTAAATTAGGACTCACCAGAGAAATCAAGTGATCGCATTCTAAGTCTGTTAGAAATCCTTCGTACACAAATGCCCTGCAAAACCATCGTCATTATTTTTAATTTCATTTTAGATTCTGTTTCACTAAGGAGATGAATGTGTGAAATTTCTAAATCTGAGAGAGAGAGGGGGAGAGAGGTAGAGAGAGAGAGAGACCTTGGCTTCCAGGAGACTTGTTTGACTTTAGCAGGGTTGATGATGGAGCTGGAAGTAGCTGGATAAGAGATTGATTTATGGAGAATCGAAAAGATCGACAGTAGAAACAGGAACTGGCGAGGGTAGATCGTTGTAGCCATCAAATTTGAGAGATGAGAGGATAGAGAGATTTCCTGGGGAAATTTTTTATTTTTCTAGTTCCTTTACTATAGTCTCGGCTCGTATTTATGCGTTTTGCTTGGAATCAAAACGGCGACGTTCTTTCCTTTATAATTAGTGGTCACCGCTAACAAATCTAATAAGGGGACAAAAAAAAAAAAAAAACAAAAACA